AAGGCAAAAAGTGGGAAATACAGTTTGAAACCCCTTTCATTGGTCTACTTTTGCATTCAGTTGTTGAGGTCTTGTCATTGTTGCCTCCACTTCTTAGATACTTCATGTACATTATACATAAAATGATGTTGTGTAAGCAAGGAAGGGAGACAACTCTGCGATAACATGCTAAATCTTTTGTTTACAAATGTAGTTGTACAAACTGTTGTCGTGTCAATAACATATTGAAGAACAATTTTCAATTTTTTTGCTTTTTTTTCGTTGAGAATATGTTATGACCAGTGCCCGTTCTAGGGAGTGCTCGAAATAAACCGCCCTCACCAAAACGATAATCGTGGTGCATTTATATCTTTATTTTGTTGTCAAAATGAAACTGTAAATTCCAATCGACATTGTAAGTGTACTTTGCTCCTTCTTGTGCATCTTTATAGTGTTGGTTTCGTATACACATCATGATGTCTTTCGCTGCAACTGATGAATGATCAATTATATTGTTCGTTTTACAAACGAGTGCTCTCTCTTTCTCTCTCTCTCTCTCTCTCTCTCTCTCTCTCTCTCTCTCTCTCTCTCTCTCTCTTTCTTTCTCTTTCTCTCTCTCTCTCTCTCTCTCTCTCTCTCTCTCTCTCTCTCTCTCTCCGTGGTTTGCCCCTTTCTAACAAATACACACACACACACACTCATATACACACACACTCAAAAATATTGGTTACACATAGACTTTAAAAAGATGACACAAATTGAGAGAATATGATGTCTGCAACTCTTTTCAACATATGGCACTGCATGTTGAACACGTACAAGTAACATGTGACACTGCATGTGACCCTGTGACAACCGCTTCCTTGTTCTTTGTGGTAAAGGATGTCTGTGAATTACAATGTATTGCAAAAGACAAGAACCTTTGATTAAATGCACCGGACAACAATGGCACCTTAATTTCTTGATTTAAATACAAATTTATGACTAAAGGAGTATGAAATAGTGTACGGAGGATTCTGAGTAATCATCTTATATTCTACGGACACTGCATGTCCGTTCACAATGTATACTCCTTTGACATGTTGTAGTCGGCAGGTGCGTTGTAATATCATACAAAGTATTGCAGTCATATTGAAAATGAATACGCACCTGTCGACCAACGTAGCATTAAAGACAAAAATAGTTAAAGTTATGTAGTTGCGGAACATTATTATCAGAATCAGTGAGAGTCATGTGTTGCTTTGAAAATCTCTTCGTTTAAAGTATGTTGGCACACACTTGATTACGACATCACCCCTGTATCATCCCTGTTCCTTGGACACGTGGAAACCCACACATGCCATAAAGGCTACAAAATACAATGTAATTTTTTTTTGTCATCGCTAAAATTTTGAAAGTGAGCAGCAACCAAAACGGATTCTTCTCAGTACAATATTGTGTATGTTTGTTCAACTTTGTTGTAATAAAGAGTGATGACTATTCGTAGTGAACAATTTTTTTTTTTTTTTTAATTTTTTAAAGGTGTTGGTAAACTGTTTGTAAAAAGACTTTCAACAATTTTTAAACAGGAGAGGTTGTTTTTATACAAATTTTCAAGATAACTTCAACTGATTAGGGTGTTTTTATACACATTTTCAACATAACTTCAACTGATTACAAACTGTTGGTCCATCACTGGAATGATACTTTCTCGTATAACCAGTGTATTCAAAAGGAAGATTTTATTGGGATCCCATATGTTCAACACGATACCCTCATAAATTGTGTAGGGAACCTAATTTTCAACAAC